CTGAAGTATTTTTCCCCATTTGACATATAACAGAATCTATATACTAAAAATCTCATGCCTGTAACCTTCAATTGGGTGAAATGGTGCATCATAGGGCAACAATTTTTGAACCAAAATATCTCAAATGGGCTAACTTACAGAATGCATCCAAAATCTGGGACCCATTACTCCCATAGGATTGAAATTTGGGAAATTTGTGGTCGCTTCAGCACTGCTGCGCTGTTGTGGTCAGCCCAGGACACATTATCATCATGGGCATATCCCCAACCTCTTTCTCACCTCCCTCTGTCTCCTGCACCCAGTTGGCTGGCGGCAAGGCCCGACAGATGAGTGGCGATTGGTTGCTTTGGAAACGAGGCAGAAATTTGAAATCTCTTAATGGCAGTGGGCATTGAGAGAAGGATGAAGGAGCGACTTGGATGCCTGCTGGTGAGGTAGGGCTGGCTGGGGGCTGCCTGTGGTTGATGGGTGAGCCCTCTTCCTCCCTTGAGGGAGGGGGCCCTTGGGGACATGCTGGAATGGGGCGCAGGGCTTCAGTTTTTCTCACGATCTACAACTCCCTTTGTCCCACCTCCCCCCAGCAAAGCAGCAGGCAGTTCCACTGGTCAGTTGAGGAGGAGGAGGCTTCACTGGGGCTCTTTGGAAGGTTGTGAGAGGTGGGGAAACAGTGGAAGCCTATATTATATGTGGGAGGGAGGGAGGGAGGAAGGGAGGGAGATTTCTGATGCTTCCTGCCAGCATCCCACAAGCAAAATCAGTGGGGAAGCTGGCAGCAAGTTGTAAGCTGCTCACACTCCCACTGCTTTTTTGCCCTTGGTCATTCTGTTTCTCTGTTTAGGTAAGGAAATATCTCTGAAATGATGACCCAACGGGTATTGGGTTTTCTAGTTAGTTTTAAAAATAGGACCATGATGTCATATAGCCTAGTAATAGTATGCGTTCCAAATGCAAATACGTATGGAAACTCATGCTGTGTATGAAAATAAATAATGTATTGTCGAAGGCTTTCACGGCCGGCATACGATGGCTGGTGTGGGTCTTCCGGGCTGTGTGGCCGTGTTCTAGAAGTTTTGTTTC